CTGGGGCGGGACTGACGTGAGAGGGTGGCCAGGGCGACCTAACTCCCTACGGGCTTCTATTGGTGCCCTCTGCATTTACCAAGGGGTCGGGACACTATGCAGTCAGGCCCACGTCTCCCCACGCCCAGGGCCCGTGTGCGAAATAGAAACATCTGGTCTGATCTGAGACGACTGGGCTGCAAGTGGCCCAAATACTACGAGTACTTTGCACACCCCGTCGCACACATCCCTTCTCTCCAACAAGCTGTCACCCCGGAGAACTTTGAGAAGTGACCACACAGTTCGGTGTTTCGGTCTGGGTGCTGATGATGGGGTCCCGGTGCTCCGGGAGCCGAGAAGGGGAGGGGACTTAATGTTTTGATGCGAGGCCCGGCAGACCTACCACTTTCCATGCCGGGCCCAGGGTGTCGAGATCCCGAGAAGCCTGGGACCAGAAGGAGCCCTTTCCCGGATGCAAGTCAGAGGCCAGGGAGTCCTGTGGGGCACTGCGGAGCCCGCACCTGGTCCCCGAGTGTGTTTCCTTTTGCAGCCCTTTCAGCTCTTCCACACCCGCTGTCCCCAGGAGGCTGGGCCAAGCAGGCTGGAAGGCTTTCTCTCTTGCAGAACCTGTTCGCTCCTTTAACAAAAAGGCAAGAAAGGCCGGTCCACATCTCCTTGGTTGTTACAGGAGAGAACTTTTTCTCTGAGATGCCCCCGCTTAGCCAATTAAACCAGCACCAGTGAGCAGCAGGAGAGACAGTGGTGGCTTAGTGGTTAAGAGCTCGGATTCTGAAAATCTGAACCCAGATTTCCACTTTGTAGTTGGTAACTTTGACAAGCAAGAGAGTCAGTCTCTTTGTGCCTCAGTTTCCCAATGTGTAAAATGGGGGTTATAGTACTGCTCACCTGTAGAGTGCTTGCAGGCTCAAAAGACAACGTGATATATGCAAAGTCTTTAGGTCAGTGCCGGGACAACGCACGTTAGGCTCTCTCTTGAGTGCTGGAAATCCTCGCTCTTGGCCACGTTGTCTGCGTTTGTGAAAACCCGCCAGGATTCCAGCGCGAGCTGAAGTTTGGAAACACTTACAAACTGCTGTTTAGCTTCCCTCCCTTTGCATTCGGTGCTCCTGAAAAACTTATTCTTAATGAAGTAATGTTCGCAGCGACCATTAAAAATGCAATGCCGGGAGATCAAAGTACAATATTTATTTTAGAAATTTGTTGTAATCACCAAGAGATACAGGTATCAAGGCCAAATGTCATTTGCGTTACACAAATCCCGGCGCCTGGGAAGAGCTCGTGGCTGCTCTGCCTTCGCGTAAAAAGACATCAAAGACCAAGCGCGCTGCAAAAGTGCTCAGCGGGGAGGGAGGGAGGGAGCCCGGGAGGGCCCCGCACGCTCCGACTGCGCCGGGGGCTGCGAGGGCGGGGGTCAGTTCAAAGAGAGATCCGTTGGGGCGCGAGTTCGCGGGAGGGAAGATTTAACGGGCTTTCTTTTGTCGGTGGGTGTGTCCGCGCACCGGAGGACCCGGGAACTCCTCCGTGGCCCTGCAGCCCCGGAGCGGAGGTTCGGGTGGGATAGTGGGCGAGGGGATCAGCGAACGCGGAGCAGACGTTAACCGCGGCCCTGCGGGGAGGCTGAGCACCAGCTTCCCCGCGGCCGCTGCGCTGCAGAGCTGCACCCCAAGCCTCCCCCCAGCAGCAGGGGTCTGGGTGGGGAGTCTGCCTTTTCCTCGCGCGCGGGCGGCGGGGGCCGACTGGATGCCCCTGCAAGAAGGCGCGGGTAGATGACCCCGGAGAGGCACTCGCGCGGTGGGTGGACCTGCTCTGCGCGCGCAGGCATCCACTCCAGAAAGAAAGGAAAAAAAAACATCCAAACTGGGGGGGAAAAAATGTTTGCTGAGAACTCTGGGGTTGCTACTTCCCGACAGAGCCTGGTACCTTGCCTCAGGCATTTTCTTGCAGCAACCAGGGAATTTTTGCCTCTGGAATCAATCCAGTAAACGATCTCCATTTGGTTTTGTTTCAATCTTCACGTTATTTAGGTCATTTCAACTTATTCTTAGTTCACTGGATCTTTACATCAGGGTGATGCTTACGTGCCCAGATCTCGATCTC